TGTAGCGCTGGCTGCTCGCACTGGCAGCTGCCTTGGCGGTAGCAGTGGCAGTAGCAGTGGTGGTCGCAATCGCCATGATCGTAAGGTTAAAGCTGCGGCAGCCTCAGCCAACCTCCCTCTACTGCTTTCGTGGCTTGAGAAAGCCAGCCCTTGGTCAATTTGGGAGACTCAGTTGTACATTTGGGTGTACATAGGTATAGGCGCAGTAGGGGCAGTGGCAGTAACACAGGTATCTTTGACGGGATCACTGGGTGTGAATGTGTGCAAGTTCGTAGAGGGGAGGAGCGCGATGGGGGGAGGAATACGAGTAACATCAGGAAGTTGTCGCTTTCGTGCGCAGCTACGACTCGGGCTGGAGAGCGATAGGCATTTGGAGCTGGTGGGCCTGGCAGGGATCTCCGTGCCGATCCACAGAGAGAGTGCTGGATATGATATGTAGCCCTCCTGGACAGCGGGGGGCCTGACACATTTCCGCACTATCACTACCGCGCTACCAGTATGGTCTGGAGGCCTGCGGCCACCATCGCCGGGTGTGGGTGTGTTGCCACAGGCATTGGGGGATCCCTCGTCGCCGTCGTCGTTGTCGTCGTCGCTCTCCTCCTTTTCCTTGTGTTCTTCCTCCCCTCACCCTGGGGCTCTCCCTTCGCCCCTCGCTGTCGGTTCTGGAACTGGTCTGGCCTGGCGCGTCTGGGGCTTTCTTGTGCTCGGCGAGGGGGTCCCTGCAGACCTCCAGAGGCCCCTGGAAGCGCCAGGGAGCGCCGACCTTCGATCGGCGATCGGGGATCGGCGAGCTTTTCTTCGGTGGCGTGTTTTTGCGCCGTCGCGCAGTCCTCCCCTGCTCCCTCTTCGCGTGGCGTGCTCCGCCATAGTATCGCGCGAGCGCAATGGAGAGGGGAAGCAGGCGGAGAGGCAGGTGGAGGAGGAAGACACGCAGGAAGAGGAGGAGGAAGAGAGAGGGAAGAAAGGAGGAGGGAGGAGGCAAGCGCAAGAAAAAAGGAGGAAGGCAGGGAAGGAGGAAGAATGGGAACGGGAATTAGGA